GCGGATGCAGTATACCACATTGGCAGATGTGCAGGTGAACATCTGCTTGATGTGGAAAGTCTTCTTGGGGCCTGGGATGGGGGTGAGGGAGGAGGTATGGGGGCAGGTGTAGCACTTCCTGCGGTTGCAGGGAAAAGTGCCGGGTGTGGTGGAGCTGGAGGGGAGTGTGGAGCGGACAAGGGAGTCACGGAGAGAGTTGTCCCTCCGGAAAGCAGATAAGGGTGGGGAGGGAAAGATGTCTTTGGTGGTGGGGTCGGATTGCAGATGGCGGAAGTGTCGGAGGATGATGCGTTGGATCCGGAGGTTGGTGGGGTGGTACGTGAGGACGAGGGGGATTCTTTTTTGGTTTTTATTGCGTGGACAGGGTGTGAGGGATGAGGTGCGGGAGATGTGGGAGACACGGTTGAGGGCGTTCTCGACCACCGAGGAGGGGAAGTTACGGTCCTTGAAAAACGAGGACAACTGAGATGTACGGGAGTGGAATGCCTCATCCTGGGAGCAGATGCGGCGGAGGCGAAGGAATTGGGAATAGGGGATAGCATTTTTGCAGGAAGGTGGGTGGGAGGAGGAGTATTCTAGGTAGCTGTGGGAGTCGGTGGGCTTGAAATGAATATCGGTTTCGAGGTGGTTGCCCGATATGGAGACAGAGAGGTCCAGGAAGGGGAGAGAGGTGTTAGAGATGGTCCAGGTAAATTTAAGGTTGGGGTGGAAGGTGTTAGTGAAGTGTATGAACTGTTCGAGCTCCTCGTGGGAGCACGAGGCGGCACCGATACAGTCATCAATGTAACGGAGGAAGAGGTGGGGTTTAGGGCCGGTGTAGGTACGGAAGAGGGATTGTTCCACGTAACCTACAAAGAGGCAGGCGTAGCTTGGGCCCATGCGGGTACCCATGGCTACCCATAACTCCCTACCTACACTCACCTTTCCTGGCCCCATCCCCGCCTCTTCGACCTGTTTGTTTCTTCTCCACCTATCCTCTCCTCTATCCCTCTTCTATCCGCCTCCCACTCTCTCCCTATTTATTTCAAAACCCCCTTCCCCTCCCCCTTTTCTGATGAAGGGTCTAGGCCCGAAACGTCAGCCTCTCTGCTCCTATGATGCTGCTTGGCCTGCTGTGTTCATCCAGCCTTGCACCTTGTTGTCTCGGATTCTCCAGCATCTGCAGTTCCTACTATCTCTTAACAGACCATAAGTTTTATTTTAGCACGATTATCATGGCAATCAATCAGTCAGTCATAGAACATATTCGTAAGAGGTTCCCAACAATTTTAACAAAAGAACATTAAAATTTATTAGATACAATAAAGGAAAATAAACTATTTTACACTGCATAAGAGTAATTTGAAATAATTTTATTACAAGTATCAGCAAGAGTTTTTTCCCTCAACAAAGACCCAAGCTTCAGTGAAAGGGCACCCTGTTTCTACTTTAAAGTTCCTTGTGCAGTCACACAGTATAATTGGTTTCTTTCTGGCAAATGCCTGCATGAGAGCTTCTTTAGATAATGTCTCTTCATGAGGTCACAGTCACACAGCATCGAAACTGACTACTAACACAGTTATTTCTTAACATGAGTTCTTTAAATTCCCCCTTCACAGTTTCTGGAAATTTTTGGGTCTTCTGTCCTGATGCTTTGGGAAAACTAAACTGCACTGCTGCTGGTAAAGGCAGTTTCTTTTACTCTCTGAAAAGAAACCTGCAGACAAACATCATGACAATGCCTTTACACTCACTGAACTTCTGGATGGTTCTCTCTCTCAAAGGGAATACTGCTGCTCTCGGTCTTCCTATGCCATAAAACAGCCCAAACATTTTATTTTTTCCTGTCCCTTCTACACTTCTTTTTGAAAACACTGAACAAGTCACTTTTAAGGTTTCTCACGAGCCTCACCTAAATGTATGTAAACCAACTTCTTTCTCAACTCAAAAGGCAATTTAAAAATACTTATGTTCACAATATAAAATACAAATCATACTTAAAGCTGTACGTGGTTCTACAAGCTTCAGAACCAAAGCTTGCAAGTAACAAAGAAACTTCATCACAAATATACATAACACTTCAAATATGCATCCAAACAAAATAATTGAGGCTTATCTAAAAAGCTTGAAGAAAAAATGATTTGGCAAGCAGCAGTGAAACAAAGACACGCAGAGCTGAACTTGAAGAAAGCCCATGATATCAATGGTGTCATTTTCCCCTTTTCCAACATCCGTTTAAATTTGTCACCAAGCAGAAAAGAGTTTTCTCGTTTGCAATTGCAATGATGCCACCAAGCAGATAAGCAGTTACTCACATTATGATAATCAAACAAAGAAAACTAGGAAGTTTGAAGCAATGACATCATCACAGAATTGTTACAGAGCAAAACTAGACCATCATGCCGGCACCAGATTCCTGAACCTTATAGCTTAGTGCCATTCTTCTGCCTTTATCCAATCATCAAATATCCTTGCGTACCTCAAGTGAATATGTCTCCACCATATTTCCAGGCTGTGCATTTCAGACCAGTACAACTCATTGTGAACAAGTGTTTTCTCACATTGCACTTGCTTCTTTTATAAAAGACTTTCAATTTACGCCCCCGGTTCTCAATCCTCACGAGTACAAACAGTTTCTCTCTAAACGTACGGTCCAGACCCATCATGAATGAGAAAGCTTGCATAAGATCTCCTCCTAACCTTCTTGTCTCCAAGAGAAACATTCCCAACTTCTCTAATCTATCCTTGTAAGGGAAGTTTCTCATCCCAGGAGCCAATTTCATAAACCCCTTCTGCACTCTCCCCAATGACTTCATGTCCTTCATAAAGTGTGGTGCACAGAACTGTACACAATACTCCTGCTGAGGTGCAACTAGCATAATATATAACTTCAGCATCATATCACTACTGTTAAATCTGTGCCCCGATTAACGAAGCCTATACGATGTATGCTTTCTTAAATATTCTCTTTACCTATCCTGCCACCTTAGTGATTTAAGTGGACATACAGGGTCTCTATGCTCCTGCAAAATCTTTAAAACAGTATTAAAAACAGAAGTTGCTGGAAAAGCTCAGCAGGTCTGGCAGTGTCCGTGAAGAAAAATCAAAGTTAACATTTCGAGTCCGGTGACCACTCCTCAGAGAGCATATGCCCCAAAGCTAACCTTTGGGTTTGTAAACCTGGGATAGAAACCTTCCTCTGCCTGAAAAATACCAATTCACCATTACTCTGTTTCTATTCCTCGCCAATTTTGTACTTGCATTGCTACTTCAATTTAAAATTCTAAAAAACTATTTTACAATAATTAGGAAAAGTTTTGACATACTCCCAACAAAAAAAATGACTTTTCAGGATAAGTAAGGGAACCTAGTAGTAATTATGCATTAAATGTAAGTTATAACTTATTGAACAAGGGCTTTACAGCAATACCAACATGCAGAAGTAGAAACATTCACTGATTACTAAGGAACTTCACTACATGGGGTCTTCAACAATGCACCTTCTGGAACAATGCACAATGAATGGCAACAGCTTCTATGCCTGTGTCAAATCTTGAAGTTACTATCATTTCCAGTTGCATAATGACATCAAACATGGAAAGGGGGCTGTCATTGTCATCACCAAATCATGTCAATCGATTTGGAAGACCTGAAATTGAAGTTAACTGGGGAAAAGAAAAACATCAGTATTTTGTTAGCGTCCTGTAGAACAAAAAACCCATTTTCAAGAAACTGCACATCTGACAATTGATTAAAAAAACTCTGCATTTCAGGAGCACAAGAAAGTACCACTTAACCAGGGGATCAAACCTAATAATTCACACTTATAAATTCTTATGGCATTACTTTTTGAAATCCTGCCGGTTCAGTTTAATTGCTCATAATCTATGAGTTTCTTTTAGTTTCCATCAGAAGGTATCTTAAACACAATTTGCAACATGCAGCCTCTTACAGATGGAAGAAACACCTGTCACCACAAGAGCTTCACATTTCTGCCTTAATTTAAGAGATTTTATGATTTTCTGAAATCTCTGCACAGGATTTCTACAAACTCCATGATTATGACATAATTTTGTCCTTAAATGATTAATGCTTCTTCGTTATGATTGATACTACATTGGTGAAGACATAATTGCATTTGCTCTAGACCTCAATAGGCCTTTACAGACCATATATCTTCATGTTTGGAAGCTCAAGTAATGTTTGCCATTTCTAATGCTATTATCTCTAATTGCACTATAAAACCATGCTATTAAAAATTCACAGCAGAAAATAAAAGTGGGATTAGCAATTGTAACTACATATAATGTCCATGGTGAATAAACAACCTTAAGTAGATCACCTAAACACTGTAGATAAATCTGTTTTGCAATGTTGTTGATTTGTTTTAAACATGTACATTTAGAGCTCCTGTTCAGCATTGAAGAATAAATAACACTGTTTGCTTGCTTTGCAATTTGAATTCATATATTCCCCAGTCTGCACAAGGCAAAAAATAAAATGAGATACGAATCAACATAGCTTCAGCACTCATTTAAACTGTTACAATGATGCAAAGACAATGATATTTGGAAGAATCCTAACATTACAAATGCAAATATTTGCAAATATTTTCATTGCTCCTCATTTCTTCAAGGATCCATATACGCCATTATGCACAAGCTTGCTGCTCACTACATTTGCACTCCACTGAGACTAATCAGTTGCCAGAATCTCAAAATTGTGAAACTCACCACTGCCTTAAGGTTTCATGACAACCTTAAGGTTTTCATTCCTAAATCTATAGATCAAATATCTGAGTACTAACCGAATATCGAAACTTACTAATTTATCTGTTTTTTTTTCAGCCTTGATGATGGCCTGCAATATAGGCTTTGTGTTCATCTAAAAAAATACATTCTCCACTAGCCATCAAGACGTTTCAGGCAAATTCATGAAAATTAACACTGAATCAACTTCAATTAGAATTAAGTATTTTGTAACACCTCGTGTAAAATAAAGTTGCAGAGGAAATGATATACCTTATCAGCAGCTTCAGAGGCCAAAAGATTGGTAGCAAGTGTCTGTAGCTTGTGATGTGCCATGTGTTTCAAAGCAGTAAGGCTCCGACGAGTCATGGCCTGTTTTAAATTTACAGCAGGGTGACTGAGTGTATCTACAGCAGCTGGAACAGCTTCATCACAAGCATTCAATATTTCCACAGCAGTAATTCCCATTACACATCGGTCCAACGCACCTGTAGAAAAAGAGAAAAATCTGTAATTGTATTTGTAGTTACTGCTTTTACTTATTTAAAAAGTCAATCCAGAATGGTGATCAAATAGATTGCACATTATCTCTGAAAGGTGCAAGGAATATGATCATCTGTTTCAAATTCTCTTCTTTCTATAGATTAAAACAGTGCATGCTATTCAGTGCTTCAGTGTTAACATTGCCTTAATTTGATAAATTGCTGCAATCCAGGGAGGTCTATGAAATAAAATGATAGAATTGGTGATGTTGCTTTCTGCTCAAGTATACAAATAAACCTGAACATTAAACATTGTCCAACTGCTGAAAAACTTTGTTAGACACTCTAAATGCAAAACCCTATATTTTTCAAATGACCAGACCATGTTTGCTCCAGCATCTTGACTTTATAGTTGTAGCTGTTAATATACAAAGCTCATGTCACTACTTCCATTGTCACCAAAGCTTTCCTCCCATTCCCATCTTTTGTTATGAAATAGGTCTTTGGAAAATTAGCAGGATTTAGCAGATTTTTCGCTCACTTTTTGATCATTTCCTTTAGGGAAAGAAATCCGTCATTGTTACCTGGTCTGGACTACATGTTGACTCCAGACCTACAACAACGTGGGTGAATTTTAACTGCCTTCTGGGCAATTAGGGATGGGCAATAAATGCTGACTGAGCCAAAGACACCCACACTTCATGAGAGAATTTTTAAAAAATACATCTGAAACTTGGAATAGAGACGTAGACAGATTTTTGCAATATAAAAATAAATAACAAAACTGGTCCAAATCTGGCTCTGCTGAGCTGATAAAAAAAAAAAGAGGAGTTGTGTTGTGACAAAAAAGAGGAGCTGATGACTGGGACAGATCAGCTATGATCTTGTTGAATGGCAGGACAGGTTTGAGGGGCTAAACTACCTACTCCTGCTCCTATTTCTTATATTTTTATGACTCAAAACATTAACTCTGTTTCTCTCTCTACAGATTTTTTCCAGCATATTCTGCTTTTATTTGCAGCCTGACACATGATTTGAGGTTTTTGGAAAATTTATTTTTCACCTTCAGGACCAGAACAGATTGAGACTCCTTTGCAAAAAAAAACTGTCCGGTCAATTTTAGACATTTCATCATGAACTTTATCTTATTGTTAAAAAATAAAATTCAATAATTTATAAAACAACAATGCTCTGACAATCATTATTATAACTTACTCGAGGTAGGATTCAAATGATACATATACCATCCAGTTATCTTTATTCTCCTTATGTTTCTTTACTCATTATTATGTTCATTCACCTGTCAGTCCCATGCATATTTCTCTCCAACCTGACAGGGAGTGCAGACCAGGCTTAAGAAATCAGATGTTTCCATTAAGTCAGGATATTTCAAACCAAGATATTGGAAAGAAAATATGGCCAGTTATTTTAAAATGTATGGAAGGTTGATCACAAAGTAAAGGCTCAATATAAATTTACCTTGTGCACTGGCAACGCAGTATCCTTTAGGCCCACATGAACAGCTGTTAGACAATGTTGACCAATTACTTTCTTCTCAGAATGTATTAAACCAATGATTTTTAAATAGACTGATACTGATCACAACTAATTAGCCTTTACAGAAATGAGCACAGAGTAAGAGAGTGTGAGGGATAAGCTAAATAATTAGAGGCCAGTCAGTCTGACCTCAAAGTGGTGGGCAAATTACATGAATCAGCACTGAGATATAGGATTAACTGTAACTTGGAAAGATTAATCAAGGATAGTCAGCACGGTTTTGTCAAGGAAGGTCATGTCTCACGAACATAATTAAATTTTTTGATGAAGTAACAACGGAGATTAACGAGGTCATGCAGTGGATGTTGTCTACAAGGACTTTACTAATTTTAGCATTTGACAAGGTTTCACGTGGCAAAACAATAAATTAAAGTCCATTGGATACAGCGGAATGTGCCTCAATGAGAGGAAACAAAGGGTAATGGTCAATGATATTTTTGCAAAAGCAACCTAATTTTCAGTGATGTTCTACAGGGCTCAGTGTTGTGTCCTTTGCTATTTATGGCAATATACTAATGAATTATACTTGCACATGGGATAATTGGGAAATTTGCCAATAACACAAAAGTTGATTGGGTCGTTGATAGTGAAGAGGGTAGTGTCAACTGCAGGATGATTTCAATGGTTTTGGTTGGGTGAACAGAAAGTGGCAAATGAAATTCAATCCAGAGAAGTGTGAGGTTATGCATTTGGGGAGGGCAAACAAAACTAGGGAACACACAATAAACAAGAAAGTAAAGAGAAGAGTAGAAGAATGGAAAGATCTTAGAGTGAAAGTTCCTGAAGTAGCAGGACAAGTCACTGAGGAGGTGAAGGATGCATATGCTTTCCTTATTAGAGGAAAGGACTAAATACAAGAGCTCAGATTTAATGCTGGAACTAGTCAGGCCCCAGATGACTCGTGCACACAATTCTGGTCACCATATTACAGGAAAGACAGAATTGCTCGACAGAGAAATAATATTTGCAAGAATGTTGTCAGGTCTTGAAACTTGCAGCTATGGAGAAAGAGCAGATTATCTAAGCTTGCTTTCCTTAGAATAGAAGCTACCAACAGGTGCCTTACATGACATGTACAGAACAATGAGTTTGGACAGAGCTGACTGGAAATTGTGTTTCTGGCAGTGGAGAGGCCAATTACCAGGGGACATGGATTAAGGAAATTGGTAGAAGGATTACAGGGACATGAGGAAAAGCTTTTTCACCCAGAGAGAGGTAAATGGCTTGAATTCACTGTCCAATTTGCTGGGTTGAGGAGGAAATCCTCAGCTCATTTATAACGAAACTGGATCTGCACCTGAAAGGCTACAGACCAGGTACTGAAAAGTGGGATTAGAATGGGCAACTAATTTATTCAGCTGGCACAGACACTTCAAGCAAAAAGCCCACTGAAGCTTGGCTGAACAAAGTCTTAAGTGAAAACCAAAAGAATTGCGGATGCTGTAAATCAGGAACAAAAACAGAAGTTTCTAGTAAAGTTCAGCTGGTCTGGCAGCATATGTGAAGAAAAGATCAGAGTTAATGTTTCGGGTCCAGTGACCCTTCCTCAGGACCCAATTCATGCTCCACCCTTGCTCAGAAATGAAACGTCTATAAAGCATTTCATAAGCACTGTCATGCAATGCTGAGATTATTTTTAGAAAGATACTACAGAATACAAACAATCCATTGGAGAATATCCCAGTAATATGATTAATTGATTCCAATATTCAAGTATGTTGGGATACAATTAGATATGTACATCTCCTACCCACTTTACTATTAGGTAATACAACATTGGATATTTGCATTAGAATAGATGACATTTGGAATTCTGAAAGGTCACTAATGCGCCAAAACTGTTGACTGATTTTCCCCTGAATTCTTTCCTTGATTAAAAAATATGTGACAACATATAGAGATCATAAGAACTGCCGATGCTGGACTCTGAGATAACACAGTGCAGAGCTGCAGTAACACAGCAGGACAGGCAGTATCAGAGATGCTTCAGAAAGGGTCCCGACCCAAAACGTCAGCTTTCCTGCTCCTCTGATGCTGCCTGACCTGCTGTGTTCCTCTAGCTCCACACTGTTATCTGTGACAACACTTAATGTTTTTTTTTATCTATCTCAATGGTTTAGCATACTGAGCATTAAAACATATGACTATATAATTTGTACACAAAATAAGGAATTTGCATGTATATTATGTACTCTTCTTAGTGACCCAGAATGTTAAACAGCCAATGGGATACTTTGGTAGCATTGAAACAGTTGTGATGTTTGAAATGCTGCAAGGAAACTGCACACAATGGCTTCACAATCAGACGGATGGCCATATAATCTGTTTACGGCTGAAGGGATAAATGTTGATCCAATGAGAATTCCTTACCCTTCTTCAGATAGCATCATAGGATTTTTTCACCTCTCAAATCTTTTTTCTACCCTGCCTATTTCCATCTTTTTAATCTATGATCGGACACTTACCATTTCTTATCTACCACTGATATACTCAATGCTTTGGCTTCATCCAGGTTCAACCATTAGAATTATCTAATGGCCAATCTTTCACTCATTAGAAGCATCATTTAACTGTATCGTTACCTGCACTAAGACTTGCTTCACCATATAGGTCAAATTAGACACTAAAAAGAAGATTCACATATGGGGAAAGGGGACACAGCTGAGGTATTAACTGAATACTCTGCATTTGTCTTTACAAAAGACGAGGATGCAGCCCGAGCCATGATGATAGATGAGGAATCTATGTCACAAAAAGGGTCCAAAATTAATAAAGAAGAAGTCTTGTATATATCCAATTGGCACTTAAGCTTGACAAGACCCTAGGACTGGATGTGATGCAGCCAAGTATTCTGAAGGATGCGAGTAGAAATCACTAGGCCATAATCTTTGTCTTCCCTGGAATTGAGGGTGGTACCAGAAGAATGACGAACTGCAAACTTTACAACCTTGTTTAAGGAAGGTTATGACAATTATTCCAACAATTAGTGATGTCAGTTTAACTTTGGCAACTAGAAAGCTTCTAGAAACAATTATGTGGGATAGAGTTAATAATCACTTGGGAAAAGGTAGGTTGCTAGGGGATAGCCAGCATAGATACCTAAAGGGGAAATTGTATTTAACTAACTTCCAGAAACTTTTTTTGAACAGGTAACGAAGGTTCAATGAGGGTAAACTGTTGATGCATTTATGTATTTGCAGAACACATTTGATACAGTGCCACACAGGCTTGTGAAGAAAGTTACAGGCCACGGTATAAAAGCGACATGGATACAAAATTGGCTGAGGGATAAGAAACAGGATGCAATGGTTAATGGATTTTTTTTAGGTTTCAGGAAGGTAGTAGAATTTCTCAGGAGTCAGTCTTGGGACCCTTGCTTTTCCTCATATGTATTAAGTATATGGATCTTGGTGTACAGGGGACAGGTCCAAAGATTGCAAATGACATGA